TTTGACTTAAGTCTCCGGGGACCTAACATAAAAAGAACAGAATCAATTTCATTATAGTTCATAAACCGAACAGCAGAATATTTGAAGGGCAGAGGTTTGAGGTGCAAATGAAGTTTAACACTCAGAAAAGCCATTATCTATGATAAAATAGAACGTGTTAGAAAATTTACACTGACACAAAATAGAGAACTTGCAAACAAACATTGTAACCATAAACATATATTGTTTTTGTTTCTTTTTCCTCTGATAAGCCATGTTAGTCTGGAAATATAAATAAATTATTAGAGTATTATTCTGCAGGTGTGGTGAAACACAAGCAATTAAAACAGATTTATCCATTCATGAATGGTACATATTGGTGTCTCCATCTAGGAGCTACAATATTGTATTCCTATAACTTGTTACCTGAGATCACCTGAGAACTCGTGTGGTGCAAAACAACATAAAAAGCAAGTTAGAGCTGGATATCTATATACACATTTATATTTTATCTTTGCTTTTATTTCATATACCAAATAGACTTGTCAGAGAGGTCCAACTCCTGTTTCAGCCTTCACTCCTCTGAGGACTCCCTTGTTTATTAATACAAAATGAACATAAACACATACAAAATAGTGTGGGTACTTTTATAAAGTGCATCTTTAAAATATGTTCTTACTGATAAAGCATTACTGAAAAAAATCAGTAATGTCAGATGGCATGTGTTGAAAAGTGTTCCTACTGTGATTTAAATTTCTAAATGTGGGCAGACATGATGGCATGACATTCAAGGGTGGGATGACTGTAGAAGTAAAAATAATAAAGCTATTTAGGCAAGTAGATAACTCCCCAAAAATAACAACTCGTGCCTCTAACGATTCTTACAATGGTCGCTGCTGAATCACTCCCTGCATGGACCTAGTGGCCGCTATGCTGCTCCAGGGACTGTTCCCTGGTGTCACCAAGTGCGAAACACCAGAGAACTAAAGCAAATGGCAGGACATGACCCTGAAATCGGGATTGCTCTGCCAAAACCGGGATTATAGGTTAT